TTTGCCTCATCTCGCATCTATGCGAAGTCGCTAGTAGACTTGTGGATCTCCTCTTTGGCATTGTGGTTTGTCGTCCCATTCGCTGGCTGGCGGAATTGTCCTCCAATGCTCTGCCGTATGAATGTCTGAATGTCGATTTTTAGATCTTTTAATAATATGAAGGGAGGAACTGGGAGTAATTTGATGACCTCTTCATTTTTGCACGATCTTCTTCATTGTGCCATTAAAACGTAGCTATAAGTGTTGTCGTTTTGTGGCTAAATAAATGCGGATTTCGAAGTGATTTCAACCTTTTGACAATGCAAATAGGAAATGTCGTTAATATACATGGCCGAGATAAGTATGGATTTCAATTTTAATGGCCCAAGTGGGCATCTAATTATTTTACAAGCATTAGCATTGCCATAAAATCTCTGTTGGGACCTGGCAGCGAACGAAAAAATGCAAGTTTTAATGTAGTTGAATAGCGAACCCTTGCTGAGATTCGGGGTAGTGCGAGGCATTAAACTTGACTTGTCTAATTTTATAGTTCGTCATAAAACGGTTTACGATGGCGTAAAGTTAAATGTAAAATCTAAAATCCATGAAGGGACAGTTTTTTAATAGCATTTTTGTCCACGGCAGTTAGGAACGAAGAATATATTTAGAAAAATGCAAAAGTTCCCTAATGGAACTGAGAGTGAGTTAAATAGAAATATTGTCGTTCATTTCGTAGTGCGTGTGTGTGTATTTTGTAGTTTCAGTCGAAAAACATTTTACTTCTTCTTCACGTTATAGGAATTCCGATCGGCATTTCATATTCAATGACAATACACGCTTTATCATATTTACCCATTTCCAAAGAAACAGATATGTTATTTGATTTATCGAGTGGCTTTGTTGGTCTGCCAAATGCTGGTGCATTCAAGCCCGATGGCATTGCCTTTTTGTAAAAAGTAAGTCATGTACCCCTAAAAACTAACATGATGCGATTTCCACCCTACAATTGTTATTGACTTAACATGTGTGGTAATATATAACTGAGAGCAACGGTCTGGAATGTTCATCTTGAATATATCCTATTATTTATTGCTAGAATTCCATTCGAAGTACGAATTTTAGATTTATATTTTGTAACTCATAACCTTCCATTGGAAATACGAATCATTTCATTCGAAATTCGAGTTTTCCACTTAAAATTCCAGCTATTCCATTTGGAAGTCGAATCACTTCTTTCATTTGAAACATATCTTAAACATATGTCTTTATAAATCGAAATGTTTTTTTTATAATTTTTTTTGTAATACTTTATAATAACTTGAAATCATATTTTGAATTAGAGCAATTCCATTTGTAATTTTATTTATTTGATTAGAATTTTGAGAGGTAAAATTTAAATCTCAAGTAAAATAATGTATATTTACTCCTTTGTGATGAACTTCGATTAACAGCATGTTCGCAAATTTGTCGACTGAAAAAAATAGTTGGGTTATTAAAGCAATTGCCTTTTATGTCAGTGACATACACACGAAAGCTGTTACTCCCCATTGTATTTTCGAGTTTTTGTAACAAATAAATACGAGAGAGAACGTGAGAAAAAAACGATAGGAAGAAACCTATCGTTTTGAATAGAAATTGTCCGTTTGATACGGAATTCCGCCAAAATTGTATGCGTTTGACGGGGAATTAACATATGAACGGTTTTAACACATCAATATTTTGCTGGGGCATCTTGCTGGTCCGTATTCTTCAAACGTTTTCCCGACATTTTTCAATTTATTAAAAAACCAAAATTTATTAAAAAACCCCAAATCAAAAGGAATACGTTTGAATAGGAACGATTCGAGTGAATGCAATTTTTTTTTTACAAAAACATGCTGTAAATATATATACTACTTTTGGAGTGTTTATACCCTACACCACATAGTGGTAAGGGTATTATGTCTTTGTGCATTTGTTTGTAACATGGAGAAGGAAACGAGATAGACCCATAGTTACTTTTGAGAACCTTCATAGAATCACTTTCTGAGTCGATTTATGCATGTCAGTCCGTCTGTCCGTCCGTCTGTCCGTCCGTCCGTCCGTCTGTCCATGTATTCTTGTGAATTGAGATGAAATTTTCCAAACAATTTTTTTTTGGCCCAAGGACGAACCCTATTGAAATTGGTGAGAATCGGATCAAATTTAGATATAGCTCCCATATATCTTCATCCGATTTCGGGTTAAATGTGCACCAAATGTCCACTCTCAGTCCAAATTACCTGTATTTTGGCACACCCAACCGAGTTCGGCCTAGAAGCAAGTATATCAAATTTGGAGAAAATCGGTTCAGATATAGCTATAGCTCCCATATATATCTTTCATCCGATTTGATCTTTAAGTCCCTCACATTCCTACTATGCATTCCACAACCGTGATATTTGGTACCAGGTATTAGATGGAGCACAGAAATAGCTGTTTTAAATTTTATCGAAATCGGTTCAGATTTGGATATAGCTTCCATATATATCTTCATCCGATTTCGGGTTAATTGGCCACCAAATGGCCAATATCAGCCCAAATGGCCCGAATTTTGGCACATGTGCACTCCACAAGAATGATATTTGGTACCAGATAAAAGATACAGCCCAGAAATAGCTGTTTGTAATTTTATCGAAATCGGTTCAGATTTGGATATAGCTCCCATATATATCTTCATCCGATTTCGGGTTAATTCTGCACCAAATGGCCGATATAAGTCCAAATGGACTGAATTTTAGTACATCGGACCAAATTCAGCCTAGAAGCAAGTATATCAAATTTTAGTGAAAATCGGTTCAGATATAGATATAGCAATCATATATATGTTTCATCCGATTTAGTGTTTTAGTCCCTTACATTCGTAATGTTCACTCCACAACCGTGATATTTGGTACCAGGTATTAGATGGAGCACAGGAATAGCTGTTTTAAATTTTACCGAAATCGGTTCAGATTTGGATATAGCTCCCATATATATCTTCATCCGATTTCGGGTGATTGACCACCAAATGACCGTAATAGCATCAATTTTGGCAAATCCGACCGAAACCAGCATAGAAGCAAGTACACCAATTTTAGTAAAAATCGGTTCAGATATAGCTATAGCTCCCATATATATGTTCATCCGATTTCAGGTTAATTGTGCATCAAATGGCCAATATCAGCCCAAATGGCATGCATTTTCGTACATAAGACCGAATTCAGTCTAGAAGCTAATACGTCAAATTTGAGAAACCCGGTTCAGAGATAGCTATAGTTCGTAAAATGCACGATAGAATTAGATAGATTTTGATTTTGTACCAAATATCTCATAGAGCTCTGAAATCCCCTGTATAAACCTTTTTACGAGAGCTCTACTAAATATGCATAGTGGTGTAGGGTATCATATAGTCGGCCCCGCCCGACTTTTGAGCTTTCCTTACTGGTTTTCATTAAAAATGCCTAATTCGGGATTGAAACTTTCAATCACTCTTTGTTGTTTTTTATTCCATTCCTTATAGCACAATCAAATACCCGGTTTAGTATATATTTTATTGAGTATTTCCTATTTCAAGTAGAATAATTTAAATTATAAATGGATTTATTCGAGTTACAAGTGGAATATTTCAAATTTTTTTGAAATTGAATTTGAAATACTTTGAACGGCAAATAGATTTTTTGAAAAACAAATGAATCTCACATATTGCGAAGAAAAATTTACGAATTATAACTAAGATATTTCGAACTACATCTGAAAAAGTTCTATACCTTCTGAATAATAGCACGTCAGTCAGCAATAGAGATCGTTTAAGAGAAAACAAGGAAAATTCTATGTTCAAGTTAAGAGAGCTAGCTCATGTTGTTCCGCAGATCTGGTTAGATGTTTTCTGAAGTGGAAACCCCATATTTTAGAACACTGTTGACATATTGGGGATACCGTAGTTTTTTTCTGTTGGAAAAAAAGTCAGGCTTAATCCCATTACAAGTGGAGAGAGATGAAAATGTTTATAAGTGCGGTTGTAGGATTCAAAAGATTTTCCAAAAGAATTTTAGTTTAATTTAATTCTTTGGTTCCTCTTCTCGTCACTTGGGTAAAAAAAGTTTTTGTCATAGGAGTTTTTTTAAATAAACTCCTAGGCAGAATATCCCAGGCAAAAACAAGGGAACAGATTAGGACGGGTGGCTCTTTCAGAAACCTAGGTATTCTCTGCCTTACCCCCTGGTAAACATTGCCATCTTTCTCCACTAATAAACAAACGTTGTTAGTATAAATACAACAATAATGGAATTAAGCCTGACTATTTTGCAACTTATAACTGGTCCTTTTTTAAAGTATGTGCAAATGTTGTAATATCGCCCCCAAACATGTCCTCGTTCCGCAGGCGAGTCTTAAATTATAATTTTTTTTTTAATAAAACAGTTGAACTGCTGAAGAATATTTGTTGTTTTGTTTTTTTTTACCTACCCTTATCCGTTTTCATAACCTGAATTTCAAAGCATCAAATTCAGTCGGTGAATTACTTTATTGATTTGATAATATTAATAATAATTTGAATTTTGTTTTGGTTTTTTACTTTTATATTTTTATTTTCTTAAATTCATGAAATCTTTTTCTGTTCTGTTTCTCTTTTGTCTTGAGCATTTTGCAGTTTGCATTATCTCTTTTATTTATTTATTATTATTAGATAGTATTTACATTTACAAAGAATTCTTAGTTGTCTAATACTTAAGGGGTAGGTACACAGGTAATTAATTAATTAATAACTTACAATGTATGTGTGTGTGTGTGTGTGACAGAGTATTCTGTATAAAAATCAATTTGATTGACAGGACTAAAGTTGAATACGACGCATTCCCTACATAACTAAGTGGTAAGTGATTATTGGAAAAATACTTGTATGGTATGTGGTGTTCCTGTACGGTTGGAATGTACAACACGTGTGTGCTTTCGTTCGCTGTATCTTGGTTGCCGCCTAAGCACCGGCTTCCATTTACATCAGCGTTTGTCTGTGTTGTTGTGAGTATTTGTTTATTTATAATATTACTTTTTTTTGTACAAACTAATGAACATTATGGGTGTCACCCATGCCATCTGGCTGCATGGATTTCTTTCTGTTGCCACTGCGTGGAATTCGCAAATTCTGCGCAGCACAGCACTTGGTTGTAGTGGTAAACACTATATATTATTAACGTACAAGTAAATAATCTAGTATTTTTTTCTTTGCAATTGAGTTTTCTCTGTTCCGCGTGAACTATTTTGCAATGCGACCGACAATCGGCGGCGTAACTTACAAACTATGAGTGTTTCATTCTTCGCATTGTGTCATTTTGTTTTTCCTACCAATCTAAACAAGTCTTGAGCGATTTGGAACTATAATTAAAACTTAAAGCTACAGTGGATTTAATTTAATTAAACTTTCCTCAAGTTGAGGAGCAAAAGACTTCGATTACACGCCTCGTGCACTTAGCGGCCCCTGTTAAGGTGTCAGCGTAATTGGGGAACGGATAATTTGAAATGGTTTCTACTTGGAGGCATTATCTTCTGAGGGCGTGAGTGTACAGCTGCAATTAATACATCATGCCCGGATGGACGGCACCGCCACGTTGGAAATATACGTTGGGATTACTGCTTAAGGTCGGCTCCAGCGTTGTGTACAAGTTGGTGTCGTCGGGCCGTATGAACAGACCTGCATGGGATGACAAGGGCAAAATTACTTAACATAACTCACACTTCCAAAGCTTGTTTCGCATATTTGTTTGCTATGTGTTGTTTAAGGGCAAGGAGGGAGAGGGGGTTTGGCGTTGTGAGGAATGGACTGGACAGCTGTGCGGCTAGCTGTCTGGCTAACTGACAGACTGGCCTGATTGCATTCTTACCTGGATATCTTAGAGTTTGTGCTATATGTGCTTGTGTCATGGAACTCAAGGAATTGCCCAAGTGTTTCAGTGTTGGCGGGGCTGGCAATTGTGTCATTCCAGGTGGTGCCAATGGAGGCGGTGGTGGGGGTTGTGGGTAGAAACAAAACGGATGCGTTGTCAAGTGTGCTGGAAAATAGTGATACATTCGTGTATAGCTCGGCGGTGCTGCAGTGACCAAGGCAACGCGGTCTTTTATTTCGTATTTTGTTTGTTGCATGCGTATGTGTTCGTATTCGTAGTGTGCGTATGTGTTTTGTGCGAGTGAGTGTGTGTGTGTGTGTGTGGTGCAAGTGCATGTGTGAAGTAGCGACCACATGCGTGTCCATGATGTACAATGAAAAGCATTTGGAATTAACGTGCATCAATTCGATGGGATTTTATCAATGGCAACAACAAACGTCGATGCGTATGCGTGTGTGTGTGTGTGACCATGTTTATGCAAATACGATTCATGATATATATTGGTGATATATGGTTGGATGGATGTATGGATGGGTGGATATGCCGTGATGTGGTTGCGATAGCCAATAATAATTTTAAATTAAAACAAGAACAAAAAAATACATGTGAAAATTTTGTGATTAGAAATATATTATAAAGGTTAATTAAATACGGTTTGACTGTGAGGGTTAGTTACGGAATATCCCCATTCAAACCAGCGAACAATATGCAAAAAAGTTCCTTTGAAATAAAACTACGTGTATATGATAGCGAATCGAAAACCTACGTCATACAAACAATACGATTTCAGAAATTATGTATATGGACCTTCTCTCTGCTTGGAATAAACCCTTAAGACGTATTTGGAACACATCAAACTTGATAGTAATAGATGATTACAATATTCAAATGCGAAAAAATCGTTGAATAATGTAACAAAAATCATCAAAACAGAGGTACCATTATATGGGTCCTGCGCAAACAATTTTCTGTCATAGGCTCTATTATCTATTACAAACTTCAAACACTAAATTTGAAACAATTCCGTTAATAATGTCGCTAAACTCATCAAAATTCCGAGTATCGGAAGGAATCATTATATGGGGGCTATATTAAGACGTGGACCTGTACAGACAATTTTCTGTCATAGGTTGTAATACAAAATTTTAAAATTTTATCCACCAACTTCATTTCGTTCGGAAGCTAGAGTTATTTCACAGACGGACAGACATCGCTAAATCGACATAGAATTTTATGCTGATCAAGAATATATATATATATATACTGTAGTGTGTTTGATTCATCCATGTTGCCATACCTTCCGTATGACAACGTATCATACTGGTTTACATATTTGTCCAAGTTGGCATACCTTCTGTATCCAACTAATAGTATGCTTTTACTCAAGTTACAATACATTCAGTATGTAACTTTACACCCTCACTTTATTGAGGTATGTTGTCCGCACTGCTCCGAGATAGTAAGCGTGCATTATGCTTACTAAGCGTTTTCCCACGCTCACTTTATTCTTCATTTACCTTAAGTTAATTTTTGTAAGATAATATTATTTCAGTTCTAATTTAAATAAAGCAAGGTGAAGTCGCTTTTAGCGGCTTCCAATATAAAATAAAACTTATTTCATTTCATGGCGATCCTGCCAAACAAAAAAAAAAACTTTAAAATCTACAAAAGTGGTGCACCGTGTATAATGTGATTTCGGATAATCTATATATATTAAACGCTTAAACTATGGACCAGCAACACAGACCGTGCCAGCTCGTAAATTATAAATAGAAAAAAAGAAAGAAAATGCCTCGGGTTTGCTAAAAAAAAGACAAAGAAACAATTGATTTGATTAATGATCCTTGTTTAAGTATCAATCGAAAAAGGATTTAACAACAACAACAACTATATGTGAAATTCAAATAAACAAACCAAAAAAAAAATGATTTACAAAAAGATGAATGCCAAAAAAGAAAAGAAAAAAAAAATGAATCATTTGAATATGAGAAAGCAGAAGAAAACTTTGCTCAGATAATATCAAACAAAACATAAAAAAAATCTTCAAAAAACAACGAGAAAAAAAAAACCTAAAAACAACACAAGGAAAAAATAAGAAAAAAAAAAAAAACGATTTTTTTTGCTAGTTGAAACAAGATAAAAAATTGAAAAAAAAAGTAAATTCAAACACAAAATAAACAACTTTAAAAAATCCACAAAAAATCGTAATATGCCATTTAAAAAATAACTTAAAAATGGAAGCAAAAACCGATACAAGGTTAAAATATAATTTTTTTAATACAACAAACAAAAAAAAGAAAAACATTGACATAATAAAACAAAAGCTGCATGTGACTGATTCTGACATTCTCTATTGTGAACAACAACTATCATCGAAACACCACATAAACAAACGGGGTCTTGAGATTTCCGAATACACGTATGTGCAGAAACCAGTAATGAATGAAAAGTTAAAAGATAACAAAAAGGAGCTGTGCACTTTCACTCTCGCAATCTCCTGCCTCTCATCGAGAAAGAAATTAATCCAAAGAGAAAGAAATTAATCCAAAAAGAAATTAATCCAAAAAAAGCAGAAGAAAGGATGAAATTGGCGAAGGAAGAACAGTGAAAAAGTAGAGAAAAGGAAAGCGTTCGTCTTCATATTCCATATATTGCAGATAATTTTTACAAACAAATACCATAATGCCAGAAATTCGCAAATGCTGTATTGTGGGATGCCTGTCGAGTTCTCGAAGAAATACACCAACGATGTGAAAATCTATGTCTAAGAAAATAAACAAAACAAACAAGCAACTACAATAACAGGTAACCCCCTTTTGTTTTTAAGAAGTGCAACAAGGATAATATCGACCACCCACACTAGCAGAAAAATAATGTCCCCTTAAAATTATTATTGTTAAATATTAACTTAACACAACAGCAATACAGATTTTAGTTCTAGCATTAACCAAAAAACTGCAACAACAACCCCTATACATTATTAAATGCAAATAATTAAAACAAAACACTTATATTTATATAATATATACCACGACAACAAAGGCAAACTATATAAAAAAAAAACAACATTTAAATATTTATTGTTTCCATTCTGTTTTTGTTTACATGCAATATTTTTGGCGGTGCCTCCGAATTTGATAACATATAATCGGGGATACTTGAATTGATTAATTACATTCAGACAAATTCAACTCAAACATAAATATCATCAAATCTATAAAATCTTTATCAGCTTGGTTTTACATTGTTAAACAATGGGTGGCTCAGAATCTAAAATAGACAAACCGAATGCCAATGTAGTAAATGACATTGTGCTTAAGGTTGAGCATCCTACTATTTACTTTATTATAATTATCGCTTTACTAGCCGCGCAACTACTGGTAACACTTTACCAGTTGCATAAAAGGGCATTGCGAAAAAATTATATCAGGGCTGCTTCAGTCGGAAACGGTCTTGATAAGGTTTAAACTGTGATTATTATTCTTTGCTGAGAAAAATTTATATTTTGTTTATTTTGGCTGGTTTGTATATATTCAAGCACTAAAAATAATATATACTTCATTTCATTTCTTTGATTGTCGCCCTAACCATGTTAAAATCCAGTACCCCACATGGACTGGATAGAAATACTCGCAAGGGCAAGAGCACTCAAAGAAAACAAATTTAACAAATCATACAAATGTTTAACGGTAGACAGACCGATAAAGGTAGAAACCTTAGAAAAACATTATAGAATATTGTTTGAAAGTTTAAATGAAATTAGGATACTTTTAAATCGGTGGTATGACCGACTAACACCTGCTCATCAAATTGCAGCTGAAGGCTTTTTCCTGGACGTTAAAAATAAACTAGGCTCACTTTTAGAAAAAAAGGGTTTAGAAAATAAATTACCAGACTCACTTAAGGAAGAGGTAATTTATTCACTATCATTTGAAGATAAACCCATTTTAGAAGAAAATCAAGAGGATAATGAATCTTTAAGCAAGACATTAAAAAGTTTATTTAAAGAACAGGAAGAGCCAAGAACTAAAATGCCTCAATCAGCAACAGAATTTTTAAGTTTGGCCACAAGATCCATACCAGATTTTGATGGCAAACCGGAAAATTTGCAAAGCTTTATAGATGCTTTAGAATTGATAGATTCTGTGAAAGAAAGCCACGAGCTTATTGCCGTCAGAGTTATAAAAACCAAACTGAAGGGCACATCAAGAAATCTAATCAGTTCGGAATTAACAGTAGAGGATATAATTAAGACTCTAAAAAGTTCTGTTAAAGGGGATTCCGCTGAATTGCTAACAGCAAAAATAATGAATATTAAACAAAATAACAAATCGGCAAACACTTTTGTAGCCGAAATTCAAGAGCTGACAAAATCATTATCTACAGCATACCTTGCAGACGGACTCCCAAACAAAACGGCAGATCTGTATGCCACACAAGTAGCTGTTAAGGCTATTACAAAAAACGCTTCCAATGAAAGGGTCAAACTAGTCATGGAAGCCGGTACTTTTTCAAATTTAAATGAAGCGATAAGTAAATTCATAAACACTAGTACGGAAGTGAGTGCAAATGCTTCAAGTATAATGTATATGAATTCCAACTCCCGAGGGAAAAGACACGGCCGTGGACGTAACCACGGACGTGGTTATACTAACAACTATCAAAGAGGGACTGGTCGTAATACTGGTGGCAATAATGACGGTAATTTCAGAGGGAATGGTAGGTCAAACTATTACAACAAACGCGGTAATGGAAACCGAGAAAATAGTCACTGTATGAGGTGTACTAACACCCAGGGAAACGACCAAGTCCCCCGAGATCCCACGGGGGAACAAATAATAGACTAGATACTCAAGTATCAAGTCATCACATATACAATATCAACCTCAACCTGAGTAGCTATGTGATTTTACAAACTAAAGTATGCGACTCACCAGTCGTATTCCTTGTTGACACTGGGGCCGATATCTCCATAATAAAAACAACAACAATATCTAATGCTTATTTCAATAACCAAACAACATGCAAGATAAATGGAATTGGTGACTCGACAATAGAATCCATTGGGACCATAGACACGCATTTAATAGTAAAAAAATTTTTAATTAGCCACTCCTTTCATGTAGTTCCTGAAAGTTTTCCGATACCCTGCGATGGAATCATCGGATTGGACTTCATACGTCGGTACAATTGCCTGTTGGATTATACTCATAACAATGAGTCGTTGG